ACCGGGTATCGGCACACGTACGGCACAAAGGACAGAGCAGTTTGCCACCCGATCTGTAAGGCAGTAGCGGATGGTGGAGTCGTTTTGGGGGTAGGACACGGCATTGGATCAGGCCTTTCAGTTCAAACAACGTGTCCACAGGGGGTTGATGGAGAAGGGTCGGGTGTCCCCCGGGAAATGCTCCGGTCTTACAAATGTATGGATAAAGGGAACAAATATCGATGTACTTGATGGTTTCACCTTCTTGGGCTTCGTAGCATAATCGCGTGGCATTGGTGCGTCCTCCATAGAAGGCTACGCGAGGGTTGAGCGGCCCAGGGACGTGGATACAGTGGGGTCCCTGCAAGAAAGCACGCAGAGCGGAGTCCTCCTGTTGTTTAACGCAGCAATATTCCCACCATATGAGGGCGGTCTATAAATAATCGAGTCTGGAAGTGACAATCGAGTGATTTACATCACAAGCATCGATATTCGCAATTGAGATACAAGGACATGCATCAAACCAAGTCCGCGAACCTGACCACCCGTTCCCTATATTTTCCTGAATATGATTGTGTTTGAATGGAAAATATAAAGTATTTTTCACCTGATTGGGACTGAGTTAGAGAAACATAGCATTGCGATTCCATGCGCCAAACATTTGGATGCAACGAATGCGTGTGATGACTAATTGAATATTTCAATGTTTTTCGCAAGCAAATATTTATCCAAAAATATGAAAATGTACATGGTTACATTTAGTACATGCATGGGTTGGCAACAGATGAGTGAGTTGCACGTGGTCTTGGTAATTATACAACGTTGTGTGTTATTTGCACGAAAAAGTCCGGATAAATGATTGTTTGCCCATGGCTTCTGTTAATGAAACTAAGTTACACAATGTTGCAAGTGATCTCTGTTTTTGACTTCATTCCGGATTCCACAGCCTATCTAGGGGAATTGCTCACAGCTGTGGCAAATGCAAACTTCGAGATAAAGATACTAAATTCTACAGTCAAAAACAAAGTTGGAACCGAGTCCAAGGTTCGACATGGCGCTATGTATTATTATCTCAAATGCAGGATAAGAGGTCAATTATATGTATTTATTAATATAGAGAGCTGGTTGGAACCGGAGAAAAGGTTCAAGATATCGGTACTTTCGAGATAATGAATCTCGAGATAACTGGGTCTGACTGGATGTGACCCGTGAAGATTCCGGGATAGAATAGGTCTTCAGCAACCCATGCTTGCCGTAAAAGGTGATTATGCTTGTCGTAAAAGGCGACTATCGGGATCGGGTCGTCAGGCTCCTTTTCGAATGATGTGATGAGGGTAATCCAAACTGAGTTTCTCCCCCTCTTTCCCAGGTCGTTGTCCCAGTAGCAGGCCTTTCATGGTGTTAAAGTTGGTGTCTTCTGGGTATAGGTCACTTCCACCATGTGTTCGTTGACAACGGTAACATCCTCGATGGTATTGCGTTCATCCCTCCACAAGGTAGGGTACTGTACAGGATCGTTCATATAGATATTCTGAGTGTAGTCTAACCGTTGTCCAAACTTGCCCCAGAGCGAATTCAGTTGCATCTTGGAAATCGTGCGACCGCATTGTTTCGATGCGGTCCTTGTCCAACCCAATATCTTCTTTGATTGTGTTTGAATGGAAAATATAAAGTATTTTTCACCTGATTGGGACTGAGTTAGAGAAACATAGCATTGCGATTCCATGCGCCAAACATTTGGATGCAACGAATGCGTGTGATGACTAATTTGAATATTTTAATGTTTTCGCAAGCAAATATTTATCCAAAAATACGAAAATGTACATGGTTACATTTAGTACATGCATGGGTTGGCAACAGATGAGTGAGTTGCACGTGGTCTTGGTAATTATACAACGTTGTGTGTTATTTGCACGAAAAAGTCCGGATAAATGATTGTTTGCCCATGGCTTCTGTTAATGAAACTAAGTTACACAATGTTGCAAGTGATCTCTGTTTTTGACTTCATTCCGGATTCCACAGCCTATCTAGGGGAATTGCTCACAGCTGTGGCAAATGCAAACTTCGAGATAAAGATACTAAATTCTACAGTCAAAAACAAAGTTGGAACCGAGTCCAAGGTTCGACATGGCGCTATGTATTATTATCTCAAATGCGGGATAAGAGGTCAATTATATGTATTTATTAATATAGATTCCGGATTCCACAGCCTATCTAGGGGAATTGCTCACAGCAACCCATGCTTGCCGTAAAAGGTGATTATGCTTGTCGTAAAAGGCGACTATCGGGATCGGGTCGTCAGGCTCGCTGACTTGGTTGATGCATGTCATCGATCCCAATTGCGTGGATCGATGCTCATGATATTAATCACTGGATTGTCTGGTCCAGACTCGATTATTCACAGACCGCCGTCATATAGCTGGAATATTGCTGAGTGCGGCGTTAAACAACAAACCAACCAACCAACCGACCGGATGTGTAGCTGAAACATTATGTACTGGGGTGACTACAACAGAACCCATCGTAGAGGTGGTGTAGTCATCGAACCAGGCGGTTGATGGAACAAACACTTTTGAAACAAATGATATTTTATCTTTATCTGATAATTAAAATGCCCAAAATTAATATTTGTTGCAGAACAAATACACAAAACATTTCCCAATACTTACCTATTCATGAGATTATTTACTTTGCTATTGAATGTTTTATTTCCACGTCAGGCCTCATGGCATGTCTACGAATATAATGCCTGTCTGTTTGATATCAATATACATCATTATAGAAGGTATGACATCAAACATTAGTTAACAAACTACATCTCTTCAAAGCGATTGTGGTAGTGCATGGGAATTTTGGGTCACCAACTTGTGCCCACTAACTATGATTGGGATATTGTTAAAAATGCATGTTTCCTATGCAATGTGTCCGTATCCCTTATAATTTCCAACTGATATGCAGCAAGTGTATATATATTAGATTTGTATATAATGGTGACTTGATCATCCTATTTCATAGGACAAACATGTTCATACAATCAGTGGGGCGGTCGGGCAGCCTAGTGGTTAAAGCGTTCGCTCGTCACGCCGAAGACCCGGATTCCATTCCCGACCATGGTACAATGTGTGAAGCCCATTTCTTGTGTCCCCCGCCGTGATATTGCTGGAATATTGCTCAAAGCGGCGTAAAATCAAACTCACTCACTCACTCATACAATCAGTTAACAGCTAAATAAGATAAAATCGCGATTCAATCTTTCTGGTCATACTGAGTCCAGAGCAAAGATATTCCTTCCAGCACATGTCTCACGTTGCCTTGAAGGTCATATATTTCAAAATCAAAGATAATTGTTTTTAAGAATAGGGAACATCTGTCGCAGTTTGAAAAATGGATCTATAACAATAGACCTCTTGATGTTAGTTCTTATAAGTACCTTGGTTTAATCTTAGTCTGGACAAAGGCATGTAATATACTTTCCGAGCAAGCGAATAAAGCCTTAATGCCAATTTCTTATAAGGACATATATTTCTTTAAAGGACTCGTTTCAAATATTTGCCAGCAAAATTGTGCCAATACTGATATATGGTGGTGAAATATGGGGATATTAAGTGAGATAACGTATAGAAAAGGTTCACAGATTGTTACAGTACACCAAATCATAATACATATGGAGAATGTGGTAGACTCCCACTTTCTGTCACATATAATGTGAAGCGTCTAAAATTCTGTTCAATGATAGAATACTAGCACACATAACACAATTCATCTTCCAAATTCTGTATATTCCAAAAACTTCATTTCTTTTCAAGGGGTAGAGGCAAATAGGAAGAACCTCGGAAGGGTTGAAGTTTTACAACTGACAATCTAACACAAGCACGTCTTCAACATTAAAATTGGAACTATCTCCTTCATGATTATCCAATTTTTCCATAATTTGTGTATGGCCTCAGGGTATATGACATCTGGATCACCGGCTGCCGTAGTCGGTATCATTTTAGTTTTAAAATAAGGGACCGCCTCCGTGGTCTAGTGGTAGAGCGGAAGGTTCGTGGTTAGATCCCCGGCCGCGTCCTACCAAAAGACGTTAAAAGATGGTACTTGTTGTTACCCTGTCTGGCGCTCGGCATTAAGGGGCTAAAACAAGGATTGGTCGGCTCGGAGTCAGTATACTGTGTCTGAGTGGGGTATTCATGTTAAACTGCGGCATAGTATCTCAGTGAGCTAGCACAATGAATCGGCATCAGTCCGGACTAGTACAAGCAGATTTCTCCCCCCGAAACGAATCACGTGAACTTCACCAGGTTCCTTTCATGACCTGCCTTTGATTCTCAAAGTAGTGAATGCTTTCATCGTCATGAGAGAAAGACAGCGCTGTCGTGTACTTCCTTCAAATTCACCAACACAAATATTTTTTAGATACATTTAGATAATACAATTTCCTTTATTGAATATATTTGAGCAATGGTTAATTGGAATTCATGTTGAAACTACCTTAATTCGAGACGATAAAGTTCAGAAAATATTTCTTGAAACTACGCTAAATCTCTATTTGTTTTCGTGAAAAAAATGTTCTTGGGATTAAACAAACATGAATTTGTCATGAGAAATATTAAACCGCAGGGATATTTATATAGGAAAATTTCCAAACTGATAAAACAATTTTCAACTCGACTGACCCACATCGTGAACAAGTCTCCCAAAGCAACAGCTTGTGTTGCCCCTCCATATGGAGGTTTGTCACGCCTAGTCCCACCAGTACATTTCCCCTTAATAATAGCGCCAGATGCAAGCGCACATGTGTTTCCAATTTTTTCATAACCCTGAGTAGTACTGGCGTATTATCTCCAAACAAGGTCGAGGGGCGTAAAGCTTCTCGGTTCTATTGTTTATAGGGAGAAGACGGCTACTTATTTATTACATACGTTACGGTAAATCACAATCTGTTTTTCGCGTTTAAAATTGAAGACTGTGGACATATGTAGTTTTGCTCCCTCAAGGCTGTTTAGATACATGTGTTTCGCGGACAATGCCTCTTGGATTTAAATACAGTACAAGCGAGCATGGGCATTCGTGCAACAATTCATAGCTGTTTTTCCTGAGATGTTGTTATATAGGACATATCTCATAATTGACAAAAACCCCATGTGCACACCTTGGATATACTACAGGAATCACGCGTTTCATTGTGAATGCCACTAGGAAACTGTACGGGTGAGTATATGCATTGCTATAACAATTCGTGACGGTTTCTCATGAGATTTTATATAAAGGGCAGATTCATAAAGAGAAGATTCAGTGTTTCTCATTGAAAAATATGAACCATACACAACTGCCAATAAGTTCACTCTCCTTACACTCCTAACATCCGTTCCTCACGCGTGTGACATCCGTATGCAACGGTTGAACGTAGTAACAAGGAGAGACATGTTTTTTTATTTCCCGGCGAAAAATGTTAAAACACGTAATGTGAGGAATTTGCTGATTTCTTCTGTTTAGGTGTGATTTTGTTGGAAAATGTTACTGCTGTGGTCAATCGTATCAATCCTATTTATTTGCCTTCTACCTGATGTTTTGCGATGGCATTAAGATAATTTATGTTATTGTAGGACGACTTCCCGAGATTATATTTATGAGGTTTGGCAGCGCATTAATTTTATTGGACCCTAATTATTTTATGATGGCTTGGGTCTCTTTGCCATAGCCGTAACGCTGGAAAAGTGCAGCATTTAATTGACGAAAGTAGGTTATATCATGACGGATACATTTGAGGGGGAGGGTTCTAATAATTGCCGTACCACAAGAAGATACCAGTAGACCTGAGCGCGGATTGCCGTTGCATCATGGTTTTTTGGTTTGTTGTTTTACTCCGCACTCAGCAATATTCTAGCTATATGACGGCGGTCTGTATATAATCGAGTCTGGACCAGACAATCCAGTGATTTACATCATGACCATCGATCCACGCAATTGGGATCGATGACATGCATCAACAAAGTCAGCGAGCCTGACCACCCGATCCCATTAGTCGCCTTTTACGACAAGCATAGTCGCCTTTTACGGCAAGCGTGGGTCGCTGAAGACCTATTCTACCCCGGATCTTCACGGGTCCCGTTGCAAAATGTGTTTTACTGCGTCAGCTAAAAGGAACAAAGAAGTGTTGTTTTCACTAGTCTGTTGAATATACTCCCAGCGCTACTATCAATATATCTTCTACTCGATCCTTGATACACATCATTTCAAAATATATATATATTTCAACGTTCTTTAATAGTTTACAATCATGTGTTTCAGAGTAGTTGTCAAATGTGTAGAGCTGACAAGCAATACCTGTAATTTATGATGACATCTAAACATACAATTTCTCATGTGAAGCAGGTAGTAAGTACGATAGAAAATAATCACTATTCAAATCATACTAAAGTACAGTGATAAAACGATACAGTTGTAATCCTAAAGCTATTGAAATGTGGTAGTACAGCACAGGTGGCGCTGCAAGATGGTAAGGCACAATTTGCCTGGCTCAGTACAACTGCGTAAAGGTTAACCATGTCTAGCATTTGAAAACTGCTCCAAAATACACCATGAGTGCCACTGGTGATACCCTAGCCATGGAGCCGGCTAAAAAAAAGAAAAAGAAAAAGCAGACAAAGTTACCCGGAACTTCTACGACAGATGAACAGGCGTCAGGTGACACGTCGCAGATTGGAGCAGCTGTCAGAAAAGCTTTGTTTTCACTGTACGGCGCACCCCCCACTACAACAGCATTGCAGCTGACCACCCCTCAACAATCTTGGACACTCAGGTCAGTACCCACAGGCAGGGCTTGATCAGTATAGGTGGCAATTGTATCTTCACTTGGAGAAATTGAACAGAAAACGTCTAAACTTGACACAATTGAAACTTTAGGCTAAGGTGTCCAGGCTAGAAATAAAAGGATCTGGAATGGATGTTCTCAAAGACAATATAGATTCTGTTAAAACAAGTTCTACTTATATCAGTGACCAATTTGACCAGTGGACAAAAGATAAACACTGGATGAATGAATAGAGATATTAAGGTGCTACGAGAACAAATCCAAAATCAGGCTCCAGCTATTGAGAGATATACAGAGGATAACGTACGCCTTGGAGTCTATGGTTGATCGCGGATGTCGATCAATGAGAGACAATCTTATATTTACTGGAATAGCTGAAAATACAACTAGTGGAAAACCCGAGGATACTGAAACTTTGCTGAAATCTTTTATAAAGGAGGAAATGGGGGTGGAGGACGCCTTTTAATCTAAGAGTGTGCATCGACTTGGGCCTAAACGATATTCACAACCCAGTAGGGATCAGATGAGGCCAAGGTCCATCATTGCCAAGTTAGTGTTTCAGAGATTCTGCCTCATGGCATTCATTCACCTACTGAAGGAGTAAGCATATACTCCGAAACGTTGTGTTCCTCATAATAAAGAAGTTGACATCGATATATTCTATTCCAGTGATACTTGGTCAAACGCTCAGCAATGAAACTGAAAGATAAACGTTACACTATATATGAACAATGGAAGTGAGTTCATACAGAAAGGTGGTCCTTCTTCCTCTACTAAAGGAAGCAAAGAAAATAACCGAAGAGCACAATTTGTGGTGGCTAGGATTTATGTGAATAACACGCTGTACCCTGAGCTTGCACCCCCTCCATACAGAGTCCCCCGCTGTCCACAGTGCTTAAAGTTCCAGCCAGACCAGGGTTTAGATAGGGAGCATGTGGTGGTCAGGAACCTGACAACTGTTACATCTACTTGTGAACAAAACAAAGCATTAAAGTGTGTGCCATTAATTGTGTGTGGCCTAAGAAATAATCTAGAGTTTCCAATAAATGGTTCCCTTTGATATCACCAAGCACCAATGCGTATTGGGCAGTTATAAAAATGACAAACCTAATGAGATTCTGTGTACATCTGATGATTGTTAAATAGTCTATAGTCAGACGGTATGGCAGTTCAACATTCTTTTAAAATTAGTGGTGTAACGATACATCGAACTATCGATTGATTGCGATTGCTTGTCCCACGATAGTACACTATCGATTGCAACTTGAAACAATCGATACTATTGGCGATAGTTTGTCTAACTATCGATAGTTTCGATAGTTAATTTGTTTGGAACATTTACTTTCTTAAAAAATAAGGAAACAACTCCTATGATCATCTAACCTCTGTCGTGCTTTCGTTTGGATTGCACTACTTTGTCTGCTTGATTTAGAGTTACGTCCCTTAGCTACTCGTCGCTAGGTAACATTGACAAGTTGGCGGACGCCACATGTCAGTTCGAAATTGTCGCCAATAAGGCAGGCAAATTGTGGGTATTGGACCATTTTGGCTTTGTCAAAACGCAAAACGAGACAGACAAGCAAATTGTAAGTTGTAGAATCTGTCGGATAATTCTAAAGTATTCAGGAAATACTACTAATCTAACCGACAACTTGACAAGACGGCACCCAGATATTTGTCCACGTGAAAAAGGGGGATCAAATACTAGTCATTCTATCACATTCATTCACATTGGTGCTAAAACACTGCAGTAACCTAAGACTTTACCAGTGACATGAAGTGAAATTTTGTATTAAAATGTTTTTGAGAGGTCAATTTGAACTTGTTTTCTTTTCATTTCTTGTTTTCTTTACACATAGTATCAGAACGTTATAATTAGTTTGATGGTGTCAGTCAAAATGCTGAAATACATGTATATGCTGCTAAAGCCTGCTATAATTGCAAGTGAAAACTATCGCAATGGTATCGCAATAGTAGGGCCACTATCGCAATAGTATCGCAATAGTTGTTTTAACTATCGCAATAGTCAAAAATGCCTCAATAGTCACCCCTATTTAAAATTAATTAGAGAGTGAGAGCCCCCGCCAAAAAAAAATAAAAAAAATTCCACATCAATTCTTTCACAAACAAAACAAAAAATGGGCTGTGGGTAAATGTCCTACTTTGACTAGGGAAGTGTCTTGTGTTTAAAAGTCAGGCAACCGAGAAGAAAGACCGGGAAACAAACTTCAGCTCCCTCTTACAAACAACCGTGATCCAGGGGCGGAGAGGGGTGCTGTGGTGGGGTGGGGGTAAATTCCTACGTGAGTTAATAGGACGGTGGTGACTACTGCATTGAAATTGTACCATCTAAAGCATACATTTGGAGAACGAACGTCCTTACATTTGCAATCATCTGGAATTACTCATATAGCCAAACACAAGCACAAGCACCTGATTAATTGTGAACATTCGCCATCTCGTGGCAATCGTGTAAACTCGTGGGATCCCTTAGCAAAGAACGCATATCTAATTCACTACTGTTCTACTGTTGGCAAGTCCCAATGTCAAGATCCAAGTTGAATGGTTCATGCATATAAGTCGAGTAACCGAGCACGAATTAAGACGGGCCAACCTTGTGTTTATGGTCTGGTCAACACAGGTCAAGTAGCCAATCCATTAGCCCATTAAGTTCCTGGATCGTATGAAATGACAACCGGCCTCTCACAGTGAACTAAGGTAGGTTGGCGCGCTGTTTTTCACCCTGGCGAAACGTTCAATGGCGAAAATAACCGGCGCGGTTTCTTTAGATTGCTTCCCAACATGCTTTCCAAACATTGGCGGCCTGAGTCATTACATCAAAAACCCTGGCATTGTTGTTACCTACATTCCTTTCAAGGTGAAACAAGGCTCCATCGTTGTGAGTGAGTGAGTGAGTGAGTGAGTATGGTTTTACGCCGCTGTTAGCAATATTCCAGCAATATCACGGCGGGGGACACCAGAAATGGGCTTCACACATTGTACCCATGTCGGGAATCGAACCCTGGTCTTCGGTGTGACGACCGAACACTTTAACCACTAGGCTACCCGACCGCCCCTTCATCGTTGTGAGCACTTCCTCATATGGAATTCATTACTATGTGTTGTTCTATTTTCATTCCTTAAAAAGGGGCTGTCAGGTAGCCTAGATGTTAAAGCTTTCGCTCGTCACGCCGAAGACCCGGGTTCGATTCCCGACATGGGTATAATATGTGAAGCCCATTTCTGGTGTCCCCCCGCCGTGACATTGCTGGAATATTGCTAAAAGCGGCGTAAAACCATACTCACTCTCTCATTCCATAAATAAAGTGGCATTCTTAAACTTCTCGGCCTGTTACCTCCCGCATCACTTTGCCTGTTAATGAAATATCGGACAGATCACTCCAGCACCATCAGAAGGTATGAAGGTCATACCAGAGTATCTCGTATTTAAAAATACCTTCTTATGATAACAAACAGGTGATATAACCATTATGTATAAAAAAGACACCAGATACCCACACCCTACATACATATAGGAAATATGTTGACCCTTTCCTCCTACTGACACTTTCCTCCACATTTTCCAACACATTTAAAAAAAAAAAATCCTGAAAGTTGTTGATGAAACGATATTTTTCAGTCTAAAAAATGCTTAGAACATCACAATGACCACATGTCTATTTCTAATGCTTGGTCTTAAAGTATTGTCACGCCGCAATAGCACCGCCATGGCAGCGCTTGGAGGTATTACATTCAGTCTACTGTCGATTGGATTTTTTCGACCTCATTGAAGTTAATAGAATTTGATTCAGATTGCTGAGAAGTTGTTTAATTTATGCGTTTGCTGATTTGCAAGCGTTTTGGACGTTTCGGTGCCAAAGATGTGTAACTCTCCTTTTTGCAGTTTGTACACCAAATGTTGTAGTTTCCTTTGCGTGACAGTTTTTGCATTTGGATAGCTGGTTAGATGATTTTTGTGTCTGCCCATGCAGCATACGGTTTTCCATTGTGTTGGTCGTTTACCATATGGAATAGTTTCCATGTCCTTAACGCCTAGATTGAGGTGGCTGGTGACTGAATGACCTAATAACGTGAGTATTACTACTCGTGTGTTGAGACCCGTGAAGATCCGGGGTAGAATAGGTCTTCAGCAACCCATGCTTGCCGTAAAAGGCGACTATGCATGTCGTAAGAGGCGACTAACGGGATCGGCCGGTGGTCAGGCCCGCTGACTTGGTTGATGCATGTGATCGATCCCAATTCCATGGAACGATGCTCATGTTGGCAATCACTGGATTGTCTGGTCCAGACTCGATTATTTACAGACCGCCGTCATATAGCTGGAATATTGCTGAGTGCGGCGTTAAACAACAAACAAAGAAACTCTTGTGATGGTGACGGAGATTGGTCAATATGAATCAGAAAAGATTTAATAGAGTTGTGTTTTTATGGGAAGAAAGGTGTCAATCAAGATAATGTAAGAACGGGAATTTTAATGTACATCGATTCGTTTTAGAACAAGAATAAAACAGCTAGCTGTGATGTTAACGTTTTTTATGCCTTACTCATATATTTCGTTTATTTTAGATAATTAGTGTAATAGATTTACTGATTCACGATAACAAAATATTTAACATAATAATCAAAATTACGTACCGACCGCATGTTTCAAACTATATATGGTGTAGAACATTATGCTGCCCAGAATATGCCCAGACATTATCGTAGCGTCCTGGCCAAGTTCAGGAGTGGAGTTTCTCCTTTTCGCACAGAAACAGGGCGCAATGAGAACCTACCAGTTGAAGAGAGAATTTGCCCGATGTGCTCCAATAATTGTATTGAAGATGAACTTCATGTTGTACTTAACTGTCCTGTGTACTTAGACCTGCGGTATAACTTACATTGTTGAGCTGTATATTTTAATGACGAATACGGTGTTTTATCTGATGTACATAAGTTCTGTTTTTTAAATGTCCAGCATGGACATAACGGTTAATATTGCCCGAAAACCTTCATTAAATGTTAACTCGAAGTCGTGCATTGTTAAAAGCTTAATGCCTGTGCATGTAAATATGTTATGCTATAATGTACACACATAGTCTCTCGTAGTTCCACTGTGAACGGCTTGCGTACTTTTATCTGGGGTTTAAAGTGTATAAACTGTTGCATATAAGGTGAGACTTTAATAAAATATCTGTCTGTTTGCTCTTTGATTTGATCCTGAGCGCCGATAGTATTGTTTGTAAGGTGAGTTTCTCTTGGGCAGGTCGCCAGTGATTTTTTGTCTAGATGTACAGCATGAAAAGCATTGACGAAATCAAACTAAAATGGGATCTCCCAACGTGTCTTAGTCACGTCAGGTGCGCTGTACACCTCGACATAAAAATCAAGTTAACTGATTCTGTAAGGTTGTCCCCGACCACAACGTAGCCTCTTCCAGATTGGAACAATACTTTTGTGCTTCAGCTTTTTGGCAATATCTTGAGCTGGAATTGGGATAAGTCTGTGCTAACGACATACCTTTTCCCATTTGATTTGTGATCTTTATTGTATTTCTTGTTTTTTTTCTGTTCGATGTTAGCCTTGGTTAGGCTTAGTTGAGTCTCTTTTCGCTTAGGCAGGTCTTGGGCCCAGAGGGCACTACAATCGATGTTTTCTTTGTTTTTACTTCCAGAGAACGTGAATCTGTCCTGAAAACGGATGCTTGACTTTACATTATGTTGGCTTTTCTTTTGACAGATTTTCTTGTGACCAAAGTGAAGGGATTTCCTCAGTGGGGTTGGGCTGACCCCATCTCAATCTCTGAATCCATAATTGTCAGTTCCAGGGGTCTGGGTGATTGACGACTGTGCCATTTAAGCTGGTGAGCACTGACATTTGATATTTGATATTTGAAATATGTCTTTCAACTCTATGACTGAGATCACTGCATCCATTCTTAAACGAGCATGGACATTCTGATAATATCGAGTACCGTTATTTAAGACAAAGTATATACAATTTTCAGAAGTGTTCAATGGCTTTTTAAAACCAGCGTTCATGCTAGAATGCTTAACATTATCTGGTAACAGATTCCAAAGGCTGGTATTAGCTAGAAGAAATGACTTACTGCAAAGCCTTATGTCATAGTGTCTTTTAATCTGTTTTGATAGAAGCTCAGGCTGTTTTTGGCGAAGGATATGTACGCATATGGTTTAAACAATATTTTATTTTCTTCAAAATGGATCGGTCGACAGGCGCAATTTCTATTTAAAGACCTCCGATACAAAATATTTATATAATATATCACAACGCACAGTGGATGATAAAAGGTTCAACATCAAATATATACAAATGTACAAAAATGTTTAACATACTTTAAGGCTTTCAAAGCGTTTTGTTTGGGTAAAATATGCATGAATAAATTCTATTAGTCTCTTTGTTTCAGATGACAGTGTTATATGCGGTATTTAACACGGTTTTAATAGCATAACCATTTATATAAAAGAAACAATTTGATCTAATAACCGTATATCTTTTACATTGAAATAAATAATGAGGATAATGTATATCACATTCCTGAAAAAGGTAAAACTGTATTAGTATTATTGGAACCGAATGCGCAGCCATATGCCATATATGATTATTCAATGTCATATTAATAGTCCAAAAAGTGGGTGTTAATTTGCTTAATGATATAAATTGTTACTCTATAATAGTCAGCCACATCTGTAATGGAAGAGCAGGTATATTTAAGGACATCGGCTGCTGTCATAGTCATGCTTTGTGATATTGTTCGGACACAGAATAGTAGAGAATTTGTCTTCAGCAACCCATGCTAGCCTTAAGAGGAGACTATGCTTGTCATAAGAGGCGACTAACAGGATCGGTTGCTCAGGCTCGCTGACGTTTGGCCCAGACACGACTATTTACAGACCGCCTGCTGTAATATTGCTGAGTGCGGAGTTAAACAACAAACAGTACAGTGCGAAATAGTGGTCAACGATAATCTCGAAACTTGATCAACGATCACTGTTCATTATTTATTAATCGGTTTGTCCTGCTTTGGCCTCCGTATGTTGTATCTATTCCTTTGATGTTAGGATTCACAGTTTGTCTCAGAAATGGAATCCGATAAAGACAATCATGAGAGCGATCAAGAGTCAATCGCAATGGCGGAAAAAAACAACGATAAAGAGAGAGGAGAGAAAGAACATTGGGCTTCGCAAATAGACTACCTTCTCTCCATGATCGGTTTCTGTGTTGCCCTTGGTAACGTGTGGCGATTCCCCTATATCTGCAACAGGAACGGAGGAGGTAAGTACACTGTAGATTGAGGGAGGTAGTGTTGAGTCACACTGCAATCAACAAAGTTACTGCTATATTGTGGTGGCATGTGAAAAATCAAATCTTGATCCGAAAACAATATTCACCCCTCATGAGACCAAGTACAAATTGTTTCCATAGAAATCAAGAAAAGGAAAAATGACAAAAATCCATAAATAGCAAAAAGCAAAACTTCAGCCCCTGTTTGATATATCTGCAATTTTTTGTTGAAAAATACTGAATGGTTTTCGAGTTATGCTCCAGAAACGAAATGATGACGGACGGACAGACAGACGAGGCGTCGACTATATCACCCCGCGTTATATGCCGGGGGAGGGGTGGGGGGTAGGGCGTGGGGTTGGGGGGCGGGGGGTGGGTTGTTGTAATAAAAAGAGACAAAACACTGTATACTGAGTGAGGTAATGTTGATTCACACTGCAATAAACAACTTTACTTATATATGCGGTGGCATGTGAAAAATCGAATCTTGATCAGGTACACTAATGGAGGATATATTGACACCAGGTGCTCGGGTAAAGGCTAACACATCGCACCCCATCGGCGGCACCTGCCAAAAGCACACGCAAAAAGGCAAGCGAACCAATGTCACCCAAAAATACATTAATCTGTTCGAAAGCCTGACCAAGACCCCAATCACCAGGACATGTGGGCCTGGTCCCGAAACATTGTCTACCATCTCAGTGTTTCAGCAGTCTCGTAAGAGGCTACATGCATTGGCGTCACAGGCCGGTGATTGCGTGTCATCGTACCACGAAAGAATGTCAGAGAATGTGTCATATTTTATATTTTTCATCAGCCAATCCAGCTAGACGCATGGAACGTCACGTATATATCTTTGTATATTCATTTGTTTTGTAATCTGCGCCATTTCATACCAGAGTGGTTGAGTTGGATTAATCATGCTTCAGATAATATTTCAATGACGTATGTCAAGACAGGTCACTTTATATTATAGGAAACGCTTAACATTATGCAAGTCTCAGATCTTTACCACTTTAGTGAAATCCACTAACGTCGAGATGGTGCTGACAATCCTGGAACCATAACTAGGGAACATCTAGGTTTAGAACCCACGATCACCAGATCATGGCACGTTGACCTATGGTGTATAAGACGAACATGTATTATGTATGGCATATCTATTTTAGGGGCGTTCTTGATTCCCTTCGTCGTGTGTCTGGTGTTGTGTGGTCTGCCTCTGTACTTCCTTGAGGTGGCTCTGGGACAGTTTACAGGAAGTAGTGCAACACATGTATGGAGTCTCTGCCCTCTGGTGAAAGGTAACAGTTTCTAAGTACTGGTAATGACTATTATCAATGTTCATTTAGTTCCCTGTAGGGCGGAACCGGTGAAGATCCGGGATAGAATAGGTCTTCAGCTACCCATGCTTGCCGTACAAGGCGACAATGCTTGTCGTAAGAGGCGACTAACGGAATCGGGTGGTCAGGCTCGGTGACTTGGTTGATGCATGCCATCGATCCCAATTCCATGGATCGATGCTCATGATATTAATTACTGGATTATCTGGTCCAGACTCGATTATTTACAGACCGCCGTCATATAGCTCGAATATTGCTGAGTGCGGCGTTAAGCAACAAACCAAACCAACCCTGTAGGGCGGGTTGTGTACATTAATCATTGTCCTCTTGCTAGGAATAATGCAAGTCATCATGCAACGATAATGCACAGACCTCAATATATGCTGGAACCGACAGCCAACACACTTCATCTCGGGCGTGTATTGTTTAGAATAACCCTTTAAGGGAGCTTATGGCGTGGCGCGTACGCCAGGTTGTTCGCACATTGTTCCTATTACGTTCCTTGTGTCACCTCATTTTCAACATCTCCTCTGAAATTAAATACAGGGCTTATCCTTCCTTACCCTTGTGTTACCTTCCTGATGTATACTCTTCAAAAAAAGAAACTTGACACTGACTTTCAAAATGTATTATAATGCGATTGTTTCCAAATAGGACACAGAAACCATAATTGAAACATTGTTTGAAGATCAATGTACACAATGTTCTAAACATTAATCGTGTCACCTAGACAGACACACGTACACGATACAGTTATTGTCACAGGGGTACAGAAAATGTCAGTATCGGTTGTGCCCACCACGTGCATCAATCACCGCTTGACACCGACGACCCATAGATGCAATCAAGTTGTCAATAACACGCTGTTGGATGTGCTGCCATTCATGCTGAAGTGCATCAAGAAGCGCCGGAAGTGTTTGGGGCGGTGGATTCCTTCTGCGAACGCGTCGATCCAACTCGTCCGACAGATGCTCAATCAGGGACAAATCTGGTGACCGGGCTGGCCAAGGTAATGTCTGGATGTTGTGGAACTGTCCGCCATGAACGTTGACGTGAGGAAGAACGTAAGGCTGTAGGATCAAGTCTCTGTAACGCACACCTGTCAATGCACCTGCCACATGCACGAGAGGCGTCCTACCACCGTGATGAATTCCGGCCCATACCATGACACTCCCGCCGCCAAATGGGACAACCTGCTGCACACAGTTGGGGGCGTAACGTTCACCCCGACGTCTGTAGACACGTGCGCGCCCATCAGCACGTGTGAGTGGGAAACGGGACTCGTCAGTAAACAGTACATTTCTTCCACCTTGCACGTGCCCATCTAACGCTCTTTTGGCACCAAAGCAGACGGTCCGCCAGATGACGTGGGGTCAATACATGACGTCGAACAGGTCTTCGTGCAAAAAGTCCAGCCTCCCTCAGTCTGTTGCGTACCGTTTGATCTGATATTATGCGTACCCCAGGGATCTGTGTGGTTGTAGACTTGGCTGTGGTAGTGCGGTCTCGAAGGTGTCGCAGCCGGATGTAAGGAACTTGTGCTTGGGCTGTCACCCTTGGTCTTCCTGACCTTGGTCTGTCGTCAACTCTGGTGGTGTTGTTGAATCGGGTCCACAGTGCGGAGATTGTCTGTCTGGATACGCCAAAGTTCCTGGCCACTTCTTGCTGAGTTGCTCCAGCTTGTAATCTCCCAATGGCGTTGTTCCGTTGAGCTGCATTCAGTCTTGGCATTCTGTCACCGCCTCTACTGCCGTTATAAGGACTGTATGGACAGCCGTTGATGTGGATTTTTATACCCATTCAGCAGGGGGCCTGCATGCCTAAATGCAGGATCCTGTGCTGCACGTTTTTTACAGGCGGTTGCGTTTGGATGAAGCTGTAAAATTGATCCCCAGACGCTACGTTTATGTGCTTTGCATGTGTTTTCGCGAATTATAGACACATCATCTTTATGTTTGACTATTTGGTTCTCATTTAATGTAATTATTTTAGATATTTGGCAAAACGTGGTTTTACATCTATGTCAAGTTTCATTTTTTGAAGAGTATAGCATCATAATCCAAAACAATTCTATAGAGGTGCATACTGTGTTGGCAGGTTCCATTTTCTGCGTTTGCATAAGTCATATTCTATTGATCGTAGCGGCTATTGTTTTTATAACATGTTATCATTGTTAAATAATACATAAAACAAACTATTTCCGTTATCTCCAGATTACAAAAGACTCAGAGGTTTTCATCCCTGGAAAAATGGTCAATTTTGCTTCTATGGTCCTGTGACATTAAGCTCACATATTCGTCCACAGGGCTTGGTGGCGGGATGCTGATCTTCTGTTCCGGGTTTGTGATCTACTCCACTGTCATCTGTGCATGGTCTTTGTACTATGCATTCTACTCCCTGAGGCCTGTCCTACCATGGACGTCCTGTACCAACCCGTGGAACACCGACGCATGTGTGACAAGTGTGAAACACCTGAACCAAGTATTCAGTGGAGGTAGGAGAATGTGGAGGTGTTCGTTTCTAAGGGAAGTGTGAGTGAGTGATTCCTTACGCAATCTTGCCGCTAGTCATGGCGAATATTTATATGGAGGTGTCCCTCAAAGCCAGATTACAAATAAAAAATAACAGCAGTGTGTAGGTCACAGTAAATGTAATGCAGCCATGATCAATACCTTTTGTAAATCTATGTAAATGTTACAGTCAGTGTGCAACCATCAGACCTAGGTAGCAATAAATGTTTTGAACTTTCAAGAAGTCCGGTTAATTGACAAATTACATGACTATACGAAGAAAAACATGAACCCCACGACGAGTGTGGTTTCTTTTACTTCAAAGGCCATAATATACATCCCATATCCAGTAACAAGTAGAACATAACAGCTAATTAATAATGAATGATGAAGACGGCAGGACAAGTGGCTACTTACATGACCCTTCGGATCTTCGGACTTTCTACGATTCAACACTTGGGGTACGGTTCCTCGAATTGTTTATATAATTGTAGAATAGGTCTTCAGCAACCTATGATTGTAAAAGGCGTCTAACGGGAATGGGTTGTCAGGCTTGCTGACTTGGTTGATGCATGGCATATCCCAATTGCGTGGATCGATGCTCATGATGTCCATCACTGGATTGGTCCAGACTCGATTATTTACAGATCGCCGTCATATTGCTGAGAGCATCGTTAAACAACAAACATAATCATCATCATCATCACCATCATCATCATCATCATCTATTACAGAGGGACGCAAAGTATACGTGTTAGTTGCAACTGATAAGTCGTTTAACAGGAAATCAGGTGCAAGGACCCTCAGCTTTTGTATTTTGTAAAGATGTGACATATAAAGAAATGATATTTTGAACGTGAATGGTTTTCTTTGAAAATTCAGACCGCCTCTGTGGTCTTGTGCATAAAGCGCCTGCCCCGAGAGCGGATGGCCGGGGGTTCGATCCCCACCCGGGTCATTCCAAAAGGCGTTAAATGATGGTACTTGTTGTTACCCTGCCTGGCGCGTAGCATAAAGGGTCTAAAACAAGTCCTTATACTGTGTCTGAGTGGGGTATTCATGTTAAACTGCGGCATGGTATCTCAGTGGGCTAGCACTATAGAAACGGCTTTAGTACAAACAGCCACACGCACACGCACACGCACACACACACGAAGTATATGATAGTGGCATTATAATTTATATATATAACAAAAGTTTAATGCCTTGCATATCCACCGAATGAACCTATCCCAGTGGTGACCCTCCTTTACTCGAATCACCTTGCCAAGTAGATAGTGTACAGAATATAAGAAATGACCACCGTAGCATACAGAATACAGGATACAGAAAGCTATTACAATAATTGAGAATAATTAAAGCTAAATTCCAGACGTGTATAACCTTTGTCGTTGTGTAAGTATTTTTAGTGTGTATAACGATTAACAGAAGACCTCTGTCTGGGTAAAAGAACATGGATTAGGTGCTTATGATGCCCCCCAAGCAATGTGAGTGAATCAGTCAATTGGAATGAAGCGAAATGTACGTCTCAACTGGTATGACATCCCTCAGCTTCATGTCTGCCTCTATTAGCGATATCAAGTGGTAATCTGTATTTCTCATCTCCACAGTTGCAAACACATCCAGTCACTTCAACCAATCGGACAACAATACCATCTCCAACTCATCCTTTGTCATTGAAGGATGGAAAAACGGATCTGTTACTGCAGCAGAAGAATTTTGGCAGTATGTGGATGTATTAAGTGTTTGCTATATGTGTCCCGCATAACTTTGATACCTCTCGGAACGTTGTTTAATCAGTCATGTATCTATATAATATTCTTAAAGATTATCACACTTGCTCATTAACGAACAACATAACAACTGTTGCCATGTGAACTCAATTTCAGTCCCTTAAGTGTGATGTGTTAAGGACCTGTGTCACATCAGAATGCGTCAGTCAGACTTGTTTGACATGCTGGAAACACTTTAGCATGCTTGTCAGCGTGATAAGTATGACATGGTGGGAATATATTCCACTTTAGAATGTCAGTCAAACAAAGGTTTTTGGAAATTCCTCTCACATCAGAATGACAGTTGTATACTATTAGACTAGTATGAATTGCTGGTAGTCTATGGTACCTCAGAATTCAAGTCAACAAGTCTAGTACGAAGCGTTGGTGACATATTCCACCTTTCGAATTATTATTAATTCATTTGTATGTATTTCTTGTAGATACAAAGCGCTTGACATAACGAGGGGTCTGGAGTATCTCGGCCCAATCAAAATGGAGTTAGCACTTTGTCTACTTGCGTCGTGGGTTGTCGTCTTTCTATGCATTGTCAAAGGTGTTCGGTCTGTTGGAAAGGTTGGAACATTTTGCTTAGAAGTTACGATCGACATCTACAAGTTACAAAGTAAAACCTCATATCCGTTCGAATTGTGATACTTGAATGTAAGAAGAACGATGTATTTAGTTTAAATTAAAGTTTTATATTTGAAATAGTTAAAATGTACTGATATATAATGATATCTGACGTCACCCACGGCTGAACCCTGTGGCTCTTGCCCTCGTTGTAGGCTGTCTATGTGACAGCTACGTTGCCCTACGTCATCCTGATTGTTCTGTTGGTACGTGGCCTGACTCTGCCTGGAGGAACAGATGGAGCTCTCTTTTACATCACTCCAAACTTCAGTAAACTTCTGGAAATACAGGTACGACAATAAGCAATTACATCCAAAAGGGGTGTTGTTCAAGATGTTAAAGCGATATGAAAATGGATACACGAATTGCGTAAATATGGACTTATGGCAGGAAATATTTGAAGCTTGGAATTGACAACTATTCAAGTCACAAGATATAAATAAATCAGCAGAAAGTATAAGCAGATGGTGGAACATATAATGACATTATCACAAATGTTTTCATTTCACATAGTATTCTCTTATTCACCAGGTGTGGCTTGAGGCGTGTCTCCAGGTGTTCTACTCCCTGGGTCCGGCCTGGGGTTGTATCATAACCATGTCGAGTTACAACAAATTCAATACAAACTGTCTCAGGTGAGTGAAAAACGTTATGCGCCAGTGATATACTCACACTAGTAATCGCGTTGAAACGGACTCGAGCCTTCGTGTCACGAGCCTTTATGAGTTTGTTCACGTCTCACTCAGAGTTTGTTGAGAACTAAATGTAACCCTGATTCTCTTTGGGGTTTGAAGAGTCTACGCTAATTAATCGTTGCAGTTGTCGGTTTTGAAATGATTGCACGCGTTGAACATGAATTAATTTCCACATGCACATTTAATAAGTAAAGGGTAAACTTCGGCAACAGCATCTTAGTAAGAACTTTTTTGTTTTATTGTTTCGTTGTTTCACACCCAACTCCGCAATGACACTGGAGTCAGACAAACCAGTGATTGACATTGTGAGCAACGTCACCCACTGTCGGGGTAAGATGACGATATCACAAAAATGCTCTTGTTTGGGTTTTGCCAATTTGAGCAGAAATTCTGACTCGTGTGCATAAAAGAAATAGATCAGCAAGGAGGGATCCCGATTGGTGCCCATGGGAATGCCAATCTGCCAATGGACATTTGGAGGACAGCTAGCCGGGACAGAATTGGTTTATTTCTATTCTGCAGAGATAACATTACTCAGTCTTGAAACTCATAAATGTATAAATACATGAGTGTTGGTTACTTTAGAAATATATTAATGAAGGCATTTCTGTCTGGCATGTTTATGGATTCTTATGAATTACCTTACTTTTCGCATGTTTGTGAATTCAGGAATGCTGTATTTTGCACATTTGTGTGTGAAGGAACCAGCATGTTTGCTGGTCTTGTAATCTTCTCAATTCTTGGATTCATGGCACATGAAGCAGGTGTACCGATAATGGATGTCGTTTCATCAGGTACGCATACCCTATCGCTATATAATAATTGACGTATTTACCCGCCAATAGTAACTGATTACAAGTCTTTATATTATTGTTATAAGGTTAAAAATGCATCTCAGAAACGAATGATAATAAATAGAACCTATTAGATATAGTTCGTGACAGAACTTGTAATTGGAAAGGAATCAAAAGAGAAAAGACATTTCACATTTATCATTGGATTGGTCTCTGGCTATTATCCATGAGTTAATGAAACAAATGGGGAATTACAAGGTATAATCCATTTGGAGCTTCGGAGCGAGTCACGAAATCAATAGAGAGATGAGCAATCTTGAGAGGTATTGAGACATGTGACAAGGACAGGTCAGGCTCGAACACTATAAAATGATACCCTCAACATTAGGAGAGTGGTGCGCGGTTTACAGTCGATCGAGTCGAATCCCGATCGTTTCCACCAGCTAGTGACGAGCCTGGCCAGTCTGATCCTGTTCTGTAGTGATAGATGGACTGAGAGTAAGTAAAACTATGTGAGTATAAACTCGTGTTGCGTTTCGTTATTATGCGGGTGTGAATGCTGATAGAGACAACTTGGAGTAAGGGTCATTAGGCCAATCACTCCTTGACGGAGCCGAGCCGTGGTGGACAAGGCGAGGGCAATGTCCTGGCTTAATTGACCAGAAGGACCAGGAACGGCAGTACATTTAGTAACTGTAGCAGGGTCGCACTGGACCCCCGAAACCAGTTACGACATTATAAACGATTGTTTATTTAGAATTCATCATCATTTCCCTGGATTCTTTGACGTTAATAAATGATAACATACTTTATATCTTTATTCAGTTGCCGATTATTTAATAGTTTGCACTTCAAGATAATTATATGTATTTAGTACACCATCTTTAATAAACACTCAGCTTATGTTTACCAAGGATCAAGCTACAATGAACCAATTACGTTTTAATGCTTCGTGCAAATCGGGGTTAAATCGTTATTTTTTCCGGAATTGATTCCGGCTGGATTACAGACTGAGTGAATCATAAAGGGTGCACTCAGCTGTGAAACTAATCCGAGATATTGACCCGTCCCGAGCACCTTTCGATTGCAGTGTCTGCTGAATCTATATACCTATTCACCAAAATATCATAAATACTACATAATGATGAATCCACTTAAAAAAGCTCTCTCTCTATCAAGCATCCTCTATCACCATATACACTATCTTGTTGATATTGTTTGGGAACGGGTTTCCAAGTCGTCTAAGGCACCGCCATACGCTGTGTAAACTTGCATCCTTAAGCGTGTCAGGAATCTATGATCTGGGTTCGAATCCTAGATCAGCCCGGACAATGTCTAGGTTTGTCAGCACCATATGATCGTGCGTTTCACCTAAGAGATAAACGTCTAAGAACTGCATCACATTGTATGTTACAAAATGCAAAATTGACGTAACTGCAATATTCAAAGTGTGGCCATACATTTCGAAATGGACTAAGTTTTGAGGACAACATAACTAGAACTTCTACCTAACTGAACTTAGAGAAATATCTGTCACTAAATGATTTTTTCCTTGTCGGAGGAATCTGTAGAAGAGACTTAAATTGTCACTGGAGCGGAGATATCTCGTTGGCTGATACGAAGTTAGAAGTTGAGACAGATATTCACACTCTTGAAAACAAGGAGAAGGATTTTGGACCGGATTCTAAATTTGGGAAGCCAATGAAATGTTTCCCTCACAAGAGTGATGTGTTCAAGGGGTTCTCGTGATCCATCTTGCAGCTGCATTCAGGACTTCCTGTAGTATGTACAAATCATGACTCGGGAGACTAATGGGTGGGGAACTGTAGTAATCAAGGCGATGCAAAATAGCGGTGAAAATTATATGAAAATATCGCAATAACAATGTGAAGATTACCTGCTATTTTAATTCGGAGACGAGTGCTTAAGTGCCAGTGTTTAAATGTAACTGCGAGGCCTAGGCATGGTCAGGTTTGATATAATAATATGTGTTAATCAACATTGGTTGTTAGTATTTTAGCTATTAATTGTAGTCATATCCCAGGATTTAAATACAAATATTACCTATGGTTTCAAACCCGTGTTCAATGCATGCTAGCCAAGGTCAAAGTCGAAATGGTAAATCAATAATGACTTTTATTGAAATATGGTTTTAAAAAGCCTGTAACCCCGATAATTCATGTAATCGCAACCGGTTGCATATATTGCACTGCTTGGGCTCAACTAAGTCGTTTCTTGAAAATCAACATGACATGTACATATTCCTTTTTTGCGGTGACATTTTGTAGGGATAGTGATAAGACACATAATTTAACAGTATTTTACTTATTATGAAGTTGAACTGATGTACAGGTTGGTTTGAAACTCTCAAAACCCTAACTGAACTTGTCTTCAGCTCCTTGAGCATGGCCAGTTAACAACCCAAGCTGTAGCTGACACTCCTCAACACTGCTATACTTAAGTTTGCAGTAAGAGGCGAACAATGAGCCCAATCACATGAGAAGCAAGAGTCAGACGAGGTAAAAGAGCCGGCAGAGACAAGCACAAGTAGAGACTTATCAGTGATCACGATGGTCCTCGAACTACCAACAAAACCACAAGTCACCCAATCAACTCTGACAATCTCATCTTGCACACAGCCTCACATAAGTTATATCACTGGAATGTTGAATCTTCTTGCAACAAAATGAGAGGACATCACAGACCTTCATAGATAGGAATATTAACATCATGGTTGTTATCAAAACATGTTTTAAAATGCAAGGTGACGAGTCCAAAGTAGCCAACATGACACCCACAAGACATCAACCAAGACTGACACTCACAAGAATGGTCACATCGTAGATTGTGTTGTCCAAAGAGAGACTGGCCAGTTTCTTACTGGTGTAAGGGTGACTGACCTACACATTTCACACCATCACTTGACCTCAACATAACCTGATCCAATCAAGTATCGGATGTATAAATGTCAATATATTGGCCACAGAAACATTTCTAGCTGACCTTCAAGAATCACCTTTATTTTCCGACCCTCCATATAGATGTAGAGAACATGCTGTTATATGTAACAAGATGCTGCTTGAGTTGCTGGACGATTCTGTTCCTGAGAAAGTGAATAAACTCCTTCAGAGGTCTGATGCTGCCCGGCTTTTTTTTTTTCAGCGAGTTGCTGAGTACCTTCAAGTACACTGTCATCTTTATTGTTCATCCGGAAATTAGGTCCAAGTTGTTATGAAACAATCTAAACAGGATTTTATGAACTATAAGATCATAGACAGTCAATATGACCCCAACACATTGAACAAATTGATAGTATAATGGACAACACGTTGGAGAAACTCCTACCAGATACGGAATCCACTGAACAGATTGTGCCCTGTCATTTGCATATTTCTTTTATAATACAATCCAGATAATACGAGAGCTTCTTATAGAAGAAGGAACTGATAGTGTTGTGAATTCTTCTACCCATACTCATTCTGTACCTGTGCAGTGACCATGATGGCAACCGTTGTCATTTACCAACTTACTGTGCTCAAACCCTTCACCTAGTCTGAATTCATTACAGTTCTCATCAATTCGAAACCAACATCGTGTACACTCGACCCAAGTCGAAGTTGTTCTAAGTAACAGTCACATTCTTCTATCTACCGCCACCTCGTGGCATAATGCCTCTCACATTCTGGAGTGCTACCATCAAGCTGCTCCTCAAGGAATCTTCACTGGGTCCAGACATCAAGAATTATAGGCCTCTACCTAACCTGCCCTTTAAATTTAAATAAGCTAAACAACACAACTTATACAGCCCCTTCAGTCAGCTAATCTCCCTAAGCACTGCTATTGCTTTCAGTCCTTGACTATTAGAGGTGTGGTAACTCTACTTGTTCTGCATTTGATGCAACTTAACACTTAACACTTCAGACTTCTGAGTCGTCTCCTTGAGGATTTTGGTTATGCATGGTAATGTTCAAGGCAGGTCCGGGCCTTACTTTCTTCAACAGTCTCAGTCTGTCTTCTCTGATCGTCATTTGGCCTGTCCAGTAGACTTCAACTGTGGTGTCCACCAATGATCTGTTTTGGGGCGGGGATATTTACTCTGTATACCAAGGAGGTTGGGAACATTATTGATCAGCAAAACGTACTACGTCACCTCTATGCAGACCACACTCAGCTCAAGCGAATCTTTGAGCACCTTCCCATGGCACAAATGACAGTACGTGATGCAAAGAGATAAAAAGATGAATGACTTTCAACAAACAACAGATAAACGATAATAAAATCGGGTTCATGCTTATAAGGCCCACTGCAAGACGTTATTAGACTGAAATTCATTTTCTACAAATTGAAAATTCTCTGTTTGGCTTATCATCTTCTTTTAGGATCAGGTATGGTTTCGGACACATAGCTCTCCATGAACTGACATGTTCACCACATTGCAAAAATGTGTCCTCTTAATTAAGGAATATAGGAATATCAGGAAATATGTTTACTGGGGAATCCATCATCATCCTTGTTGTCTCCCTTGTCATACCCAGGATAGTGAGTGAGTGAGTGAGTGAGTTAAATTTTAAGTCACATCGGCAATATTTAAGCCATATCGTGACTATCAATATGTAAACATTATACATATATTTAAACTGATTTAAAAACCTGTCAACGAAGGACAGTAAAATCACTAGATTTATCACAGAAAAAAGATATAAACTAGTAAGGAATTATAAAAGAGCATAGCACAATACATGACGATACAATATAAAAATGGGCTACAGATCGTCAGCAGCTGAAGGTAGATCACCATGCTAGGGTCCATGGGGACTTACAGTACTTTTGCCATACCCAGGATAGAGTAGTGAAATAGTGTCCTGACTGGTGCACTATTAACAGTTTTCAAAACACAGCTGCTAGGATTGTCTCATATTGGAGCACGTTTAATCACATCACCTCAGTCCCTTACTACTTACACTGGCTTCCTTCAGAGGATCAGTTACATTCTCCGTCTCGTCCACAGATGCTTATACGACGATGCTCTAGAATATTTGTGTGACCTGCTTTCCAGATACACTACAATGCTATAAACGCGCAAGTGAATGCACAGGACATCCCCGATCAGTAATTATGTTCAACTTTAACCTCATGTTTGACTATCGCCATGGAAGTGCTTGCACAACCTCATTGCCAATGAAACCACTCTTAAGTATGACTGAATACCGCCGTTGCATTATACTAAAGGCCATAAATACATTTTTGTATTTATACGCAATGGTTTTGTGTGACTTTTATAGGTATCTGTTGGAATTAGATACCTGATTTTAATTGTATTTTCACCAATCACAATCAAAAATTCTTAAGTGGTAGAACGGCAAGGTTCCTCCATACTCTATAACATGTTGCATGTTCTAGGACCTGGATTGGGCTTTGTGATCTACCCAGAAGTCCTTGCACAACTACCGCTTCCTCAGCTGTGGAGTTTCATCTTCTTTATCATGCTCATCATGCTGGCACTGGATTCCATTGTGAGTATTTTTGTTATAATCACTAGACATACTTTTTATGCTGTGCTAGGAACGTAGTTTTGCTAGCTCTAGTTTAGGGAAAAGTAAAGAGAGTCTTATGCACATAATTGACGAGACTAGATATGTTTCCTTTTGTTGTGGTATTGCAAATATTGACCAGAACTGTGTTAGCAGGTATGTGAGACAGATATACTTAATCCAGGAATGTTTCCAAATGGACAGAATGACAAAAATACCCACTAACCCTAACCTCAAAACCATGGCTCCGATACCAGTTGTCAAAGACTGACATTTCAACTATTACTAAACTGCATTAAAGTATGTGTGTTCTGCAGTCTTAGTGGTGCTTGTAATTGGGTTGGATCCCGGAAATCTTTTGATGTATGTCATTTTCATGTCAATCCCAAACTTCTTGGAACTGATACCACACCAATTAGATATTAACGATTGAGTTCCCCTTTTTACATATTCTGTTAACCAGACGGGGGATATTATCATGGAAGCATTGTATCATGGCGTTATGTCATTCCAGATGTCACCAGTCGTGTATCGCTTGGTATCTTACTTCCAGTTCTCTGCAGCTGAAACTGTGATTACCGCTATCGTAGACGAGTTCCGTTTCTTGTTGAAGTGGAGAATGTTGGTGACAGCTGTCTATTGTTCAGTGTCCTTCCTAGCTGGCCTTGTTTTGACGACTGAGGTATGTCACTAGTATAGTATTCAAATCTAACTGAATGTTTACGCTAACGACGTATGGTATAATATACCCTCTGCTATTTAATTGATCAATTGAGGTGAAAACCTACCTTAATTTTTGGGGCGGTTGGATAGCTAAGCTTAAAATGTTACTTCAAACGCATTACACGAGACAGGAACGTGAATACAATGTCTGAAGCCCTTTTCTGCGGTTCCCTCAGGTTATTTGACACATCATAACTATCATGAAATGTTACTTTGTTGTCATGATTTGTTTCCTTTACTTTCAGGGAGGTGTATACGTTTTTCAGTTGATAGACTGGTACCTCTTCTCTATTTTCCTCATATTCTGTGGTTTTATGGAGTGTGTAGTAGTTTCCTGGATGTATGGTAAGTGCTGCGGACTTTAACCATTATTTAACTTAATGTTATGTAAACTGAATTCATGAATATGTAATCCTGTCAGCTTCCCTCGCTTCAGTGCTCAGCTGGTAACGCGTTCCTCCACTCTCTGAACTGTAACATCTAGAGGGTTTTGTTTAAACATTATTGCATTAATGTCTAATGTAACAATACACACTTTATTCATGAATATAACGAATACTAGTTTTCAACCTACACATAGTTTTAAAGCCATGTTAAATACCCCTTCTAAAGGATATACCGTTCTATGAAAGGTTCCCTGTCTCTGTTATTTTCAAGAAGCATCTCTGCATATGTTCATTACAACAAGATCAGCTCAATATGACCCTTCTCCACGTCAAATCTCTTAGTCAAAATATCCAGGCACAGATGTAATATTCATAACATTTCTAAACCGTGGGTGACGTGATAGCAGCTAGGTGTATGATATACGCTTCATATTCAAGGTGTGGATCGCTTCAGCGATGACATTCAGATGATGATTGGCAGACCAGCGCCTCTGTTCTTCAAGATCACGTGGTGTTATGTTACACCAGCCATGCTCCTGGTTAGATTTTGCCAGTTTGATAAGTGATGCATGAACAAAAACCCTTGTCCTTGTTAGCAAATTGTTTGTGACTGAAATATTACCAACGCGAAAGATAACCTTCATCACATGAGACCCATGCTTGCCGTAAAAGGTGACTATGCTTGTCGTAAAAGGCGACTAACAGGATCGGGTGGTCAGGCTCGCTGACTTGGTTGATGCATGTCATCGATCCCAATTGGATGGATCGATGCTCATGATATCAGTCACTGGTTTGTCTGGTCCAGACTCGATTATTTACAGACCGCCGTCATTTAGCTGGAATATTCCTGAGTGCGGCGTTAAACAACAAACCAACCAACCAATCATCACATGTATCACCTTGTCCTACGCTTAGTCCGATGTCTCTTTCTGCAAACGATGTTAACAGTCCAGCTCAGATCCATTGCTAATTTAAAGCATACTGTAATAAATGAAATAATAAAAGCAGAAGAACTTATATTTCAAGAAATTCTTTATATTTCAGACAACCCTAATTTTCACCTTGACTCAGTACAAACCTCCAACATATGGGAAGTATGTCTTCCCGGACTACGCTTCAGCCATTGGTTGGTGTATAGCAGCCATCCCAATGCTGCCAGTCTGCTTGATGATGGTTGTCGCTCTTTCCCGGGGAAAGGGGGACATTCGGCAGGTAACTAGTACAGAATCTTTACAACGCTTTTTATGTTTTCTCAAAACAAAGAACACTTGTAATAATCATTTCACGAGCATAATGGCTTTGTTCACGAAATGCAACTATTGCTGATACTGACACCATAATAATGATGAACGTAATTTCGATAGTGTTAACTTCTTGACAGGGTTTCAATATACTAATCTACAATTTATCTACAGCTGATAATAAAGAGATAGTACATTCGTGTGCGCATGCAACTGATTGTATGGGCACCGTGTCAATAATAATCTTTCTGACACTCGTTTCATAAAATCAGTATTACACGCGTCAAGATATTAATCTCCACATATGTGTGGGAGAATTAAGTCGCATCCTACGACAAGCTATAGTGTGCTGGAGATCTACTCTAACCTGGGTTTCCACCGAGTGCAGTGCCTTTTATTTGTGCATGCACATTCATAATATTGTTTATTGTATTTCAGAGGATAAAGACGTCCTTAGAACCAGATGCAACATGGGGACCCAGTAATGCTCACTATCGCACGTGTTACTTAAAGAAACGAAAACGACCCAAGTCACTGAAACGCGTCTTCATTTCTTCAGTGTCATGTCGATCGTAGACGGACAGAGTATTAAGAAGATACTATTCTTAAGATTACAAATTACAAGGTGAATTTCACGTGAACAAATGTTCCAGATTGTTACTCAAACGTAAGGTAATGCCAGCCATCTCCATTTTGTCACATATCAACTAGTTTTAAAAGTATTCATGTATGCATTCTTTCTTACATTCCTTTCTCCAAAATGATATAAATATCTTTGATAATATCTTGAGTTTAGTGCCAAGGTGCATATGGAAAGTATTTGTTTGTCGCTTGTATTTTTAAATGTAGCAGTCATTGTCAAGGTGCCGTTTTGTAACAGTCCATCGGCTTGAGCTAAAAAAATAGTAGGAAACTACAGTCTATTTACACCGACCTTTAATGACTACAGAAGTTACGCTCATATCATTCATGTTCAGTAACTAAACTTGGACATATATACTAGCCACATAAAGAAACTGTGCACGGAGAAAATATAGATATAAGGGCACACCGTCCATATATGAAATATAGGTTTGAACACAGCAATTATTGGAGACATTCAAACGCTCATGCACATGCCATGCGATATGACGTCATTGATGGGGGCCTATGGACGTGCAATGTGTTACTGCACGTGCATCCTGTGCAGCTGTACACAGCATGTGCAACTCAAAATTCGCTGTCACTTTGGAAAGCATGATCTGTGGTCATTCAAAAATTCAAAACTTCTCAGGCGCAGACACAAGCATATCACAAGCAAATCATGCCAAGATTGACAGCTGCACAGCGTCATGAAGCCATTGGAATGATCCGAGCGGGAATGAGGCAACAACAGGTGGCAACACATTTCCAATGCCATCGTAACACGATATCGGCATTGGTGAGGCGTTACCAGAACACAAATGACGTTGCCGACAATGGCCACCCACGTTCAGGACGTCCCCGAGTAACGACGCCAAGACAGGACAGATAGATTCGAGTGACACATCTCCGACACAGGTTCCAAACGGCAGTAACGACGTCCCAGACAATTCCTGGACTGCGCCGTATCCATCCCAACACTGTCAGGAATCGTTTACGTCAGTACGGGATTCGACCACGACGCCCTGCAATACGTCCCATCCTGACACACCGTCATCGAGTCAACCGTCTAAGATGGTGTCGAAATCATGTTCGCCAACCTCGAATATGGTGGAGAAATGTTGTCTTTACAGATGATCGAGGTTCAACATTTCCCACAGTGACGGGCGCCAACGTGTCTACCGGCGTTTGGGAGAACGTTATGCACGCATCTGTATTGTGGAGAGGAATCGTTTTGGAGGTGGCTCTGTGATTATTTGGGGTGGGATAACAGCACGGCACCGAACCCCTTTGGTGGTTGTTCAGGGCAACATCACCGGTGTTGGCTACAGAGATCAGATTCTGAGGCCTGTGGTCATTCCTTTCCTGCAACGTCATGGCCCGGGATTGACATTTCAACAGGACAACGCTCGTCCTCACACGGCTAGGGTCGCAATGGATTTCCTTCACCAAAACAATGTCATGTTACTGCCATGGCCTGCAATTTCTCCAGATCTCTCCCCAATAGAGCATGTGTGGGATGAAATGGAGCGCCGTCTGCGTCGTCTTCCACATCCTCCAGATAACGTCCGTGACTTGGCACATGATTTGAGGAGGATATGGCAGGCCATTCCCCAGGCCTTCCATGCCCCTTTGGTGGACTCCGTGCGTCGCCGATGCACTGCTGTGATTCACGCACAAGGTGGTCATACCCGTTATTGACTTTGTGACTTTGTCGTTTGTCCCCCTACTCCATTTTGATGTTCTGACGTCATCGTAACAGATGTTGTTCAGGTCCCGTTGACATTTTCTTATGGTCCGATCATTCAGCTGCTACAGCGTCTGCATAATTTTGTTCTTGCTGTGTTGTATTTCAATCCAGAATATATTTTCTCCGTGCACAGTTTCTTTATGTGGCTGGTATATATATATATTAACAATGCGAAATTCGCGGTGTGTTTTATATGCCTCCAAATAGCATGTCAAAACTTTGAATTTCATGAATAATGTGTACACAGAATACGTAATTCAAAATTACAAAATTAGTAGTGTACGCTCGTGTCATTGGATTTTCTGGTTTATCTATTACCTTTTTGTCGGGGTTGTTTACATGCTGTCGTCGCATGGAAGACTGTACTGTTGTACTGCCTCACGCAATAAATACTTACTTTGATATGCAACTTGTATGAATGCTGGGTGCTTCCGGTAGGAAAGGACACGCTAAACCTTTTCGCGAACACCTGGTGTCATCACTGATTTTTAGAGGTCCATTCATATAATTTCTACGCCAGATGGAATCTGTTTCGACAGAAAAAAATAGGTTAGTCATTCTCTTGCATTGACAATTTATATTTACGTTTTGGAGTGCTGTACATTCATAGCGCGTACCGTCATTACAACACTCAATGGGGCCGGTCGGGTAGCCTAGTGGTTAAAGCGTTCGCTCGTCACGCCGAAGACCCGGATTCGATTCCCGACATGGGTACAATGTGTGAAGCCCATTTCTGGTGTCCCCCGCAGTGATATTGCTGGAATATTGCTAAAAGCGGCGTGAAACCCCACTCACTCACAACACTCAGTGAAAGCATGCAGTATAGTGTAGAACCGGCACCATAATTGCCATGTCCCATGAGAATGGAATAGATCCATAACAATAGGCCCCAGTTCTGAGAGCTACTGCGGGGCGGTCGGGTAGCCTAGTGGTTCGCTCGTCACGCCGAAGACCCGGGTTCGATTCCCGACATGGGTACATTGTGTGAAGCCCATTTCTGGTGTCGCCCGCCGTGATATTGCTGGAATATTGCTAAAAGCGGCGTGAAACCATACTCACTCACTCACTGAAAGCTACTGATGAGACACAGCGTTGGTCACTTGCAGGGAATATGACACAACTTCACGGGGAGGGGTAGGACCAGGGCATCGACATGTATAAAGTCACAAGTACCCGACGTCATGTTGTCATACGCCTCAACGTTCAATCGTCGACTATTGGTAGAGCCCACTATTGGCCCCAGTGCTTTGTGCTACGTCACTTGTTACTCTTAAAAAGACTTGGTATTCATGGTAAATTTCATCTCTGTTGCAATTGGTACATATACTATTAACATCATCAATATGTACTGAATTATGACATATATTTACATGGAAATTTGCAATGAAATTCTTCATTTGCAAAAATGATTTGTCTGGTAAGACAGGCAAATACATTTCATGTTGAAGTTGTGACTTTAATTTACTATAATTACCTAGATATTGTGAAGATGAAACAGTTTCATGACAGTTTTGTACAAATATATCCTTATTAAAAACATTCCATATTGAATTCTTATTTCACATTATCAAACTGTTTGTTCAGACCCGAAATTGTTGTTCTGATGTTTCTCAGAATATCCGCTACGTTTATTCGGCATTCCCACTCTCCTCATGCAGTCCGTAGCTACGCTCGTTTTCCAGTATTGACTGTGTCTTCGATCTAGTTTGGTTAGTAGATGCCTTATTCCTAGTTATTGAGTTCATTTCCATGTCACAACAGGTTTCTTACAATCTTGCATCGATACCACATGATGTATCGCAATTGTCACGTCGGGGCGGAGGGGTAGCCTTTGGGTTAAAGCGTTCGCCCGTCAAGCCGAAGACCCCGGGCTTCTTTTACCCCAAGGGTACAACGTGTGAAGCGTATTCCTGGTGTCCCCAGCCGTGATATTGCTTGATTGTTGCCAAAAGCGGCGAAAAACAATACTCACTCACTGATATGAGACTCATGTAGAATGAGAGTTGTCACTATACTGCTCGGTACATCTGACACCGCCCTCCGTTGAGAGTCTGACGCTCATATACATGTAGTGGCCATAAACGTCCCCTGTCCCATGATGGGATTCGAACCACTGACCTGATGATCCGAGGCCTTGGCCACATGACAAAAGAGCTAAACCGGGCAGTAAGGAATCTGTAGAATGACTCCACGCTCTGCTACATACTCCCTCGTCAGCAGGTGGCACGGCTCTGCCCGCATATTTGGGTAGTGAGACTTGAATATGAACGTGTTCAGCCCCACGTTTGGTGCCAATTTGGACAATTTATGAGTTTCGTGGTGAAATTCAATGGGAATATGATCCCTTGCTCGGATATCCTGTCCGTGTGTCCAAAGACAGGTCGTCCAATGAAAACTGACTGACTGCAACAACAAAAAGCGTCATATGTCTACAATACACAAGGAATCGGCAACATAAAACAATAAGAACGTACCCAAAACGTCAGAAACAGCATCATCAATCTGATAGCACACTGCCGAAAACATTGAAACGACAGCACTAAAACACACATACCGCTGCCTTTTACACTATGTACGCGCAGAATAAGAAGGAGGCTGACAGTCGAATACATTTAATTCTAACAGTGGTAATATTATTACGACAATATACAGTCATCCATAATATTCTATATTGCTGCTGTAAGATGTACATTCACACGCTGTTTGTTGATCCTCGTGATCATGCAAACTAGGCCAGATTAAATGAAATATTAATAAAATCGATTTACAAGTTTAGTTAACATCCAAATGACCAGCCATAGGAGTTTTATGAGCTACATTCATCACCTGTTGACAGAATGTCTATGGAACAAAACAATCTCATGAAAAACGTTCCACTCGTCTTCAGAAACTTCTGGAGGTCTCCAGTTCCTCTTCAAAACACAATCTTGGTATAGAAACAAAGAGGTACCTTGGCAATACCTTCATCAGTAGAAAGTCCTTGACTAGTGAGTACTTGAAGAACAGGTCTGAGAGAATATGGGGTTCAGCGCCCTGAAAATGAACTGTGTCGCTTCACACAAAAGAAAATGTAAGAAAAGATATCCCGAAAAGAATCATCCATGAATGTACCAGCAAGATCATTAGAGGTTATCATGCTTGTTTATTTTGGGATGATAAATATCCTGTATTAGGAATAAACATTGTATTTAGCAAGCCTTTGCTTATGTCATTCTAATAGTAGGTCGTCGAAAATAATTTTCTGATCTCTCACAAACATTATTTAGACCTTGTCAATTTTCCTGGATACTGCTCATTAAATTATATCAATAGGTTAAGGGATTTGTCAGTCGGGCAGTGGTAAGTCAGTGTTTTGAAAATAATTTTTCTCCAGATTCTCAATACATTGATCCCCAATTTCCAAGGGCGAAGCCATGTTTGTTTGTGAACACTGAAAGTAGTACCTATCTGACCTTTCATATTTGCATCTTTATTCGTATATGACACCAATAGATACCGTGTTTATCCAGTGGCTTCATCCTGCCGAGACACCTACCCATTATATGATGATACATGTAAGTGGTATCAAAACTCGTCCGCAATCTTACATGATACCTTGTTAGCTGAAGAAAATTAACAGCACATGAAGAAAATATACCTGGAATGTCTCCATGAAGAGTGCTCTTTGAAATACATGGCTCAATGCTGATACATGGCTCTACCTAAGCCTTAGA